TCTTATTTTTAATACTTTTATGGATTACTTGACTAAAATCAATACAGTATTTCAAATGCAAAGTATTCAATTAACCAATAACACAAATATACAATATATAACTGATATTCAAATTATAGTCTCTAGACTCAAACACAATATTTAGCCATGCTTCTTTACTAATTTAAAACTTGATAAGTTTGATATTAAATGCAACCAATTTTAACTTCCCATTAATCCATTAAATTATTTAAATCAAAAACTAAAATTTTGTCTCACAAATCTATATAAAAGATTAGTGTTACAATAGTCTAACTATTATTTTATACCTATAATATATGATAGTCGAATGAAAAGAAGAAAAACAACAGGCATGCATTGTTGTTGTGTGGAGATTATGTTGCTACAAAATGTCCTAATGTCCTTGCTCAATTGGCAATCAATTCATGGTGATACCTCAAATGGGTTGATAGTTACGGGCAACTTCGCCTGAAATTTGTCCTCTGTGGGTGATCATGTGATCAGTAATAGGCTTCCTTAAACACAAAATCCTGCATATTATATGTAGCGGAATACCTTTCTGTTAGAATAATGGCTTGCTTTCTCTGTCATGTGATCGTATAGCAAATATGCTGGGAGACTGATTTTTATTTGGTTGTAGATTAAAGTCAATTACCAAAAATTCAGAGTTCGGTGTTTTCAAGTTCTCTTCCTGACACGACAATGATCTTGATTTTCTCATATGTGGAAGATTTGTTTGAAAATTTTCAGGAAGAAAGAGCTGAAAAGATTGAAGCATCGGATGAAGGTTTACTTTGATGTTCCAGGCCAGATCACCAGGTGTGTTTCAAATAAATATGATATGTGAATATTCTTTGGAAGTACTTCACAGACTTCTCGAGGATGACGAAATTGCAGTATTTTCTGTGACATCAAGGCCTCACATGCCCAATTTTTTCCTCAGAGATGCATATTATATAAATTTTTTTTTTTCTTTTTCTTGGGGACAGGAAGCTTTAAGAGCACTGTGTATGCAACATACCCTGATCAGGAGCTCCATGGCTTAATATCTGATCAATGGAAAGAAATGGGGTGGCAGGCAGAGATCCATCTACTGATTTCAGGTTCTTTTACCTTGTGCTACTTGTATTTCCTTCTTCGTTTCCTGGCATATTTATTCTTTTACTTAGCATCTGGACAATTTTCCTGATGTAGAGGAGCTGGTATTCTCTCTGAGAATTTGTTGTTCTTTGCCAAGACATTTTCGGTAGATTGAATTTCAGAATTTTAGCCCTTCTTAATTCTTGTTTAATTGATCCTGAAAAGGCCATTAGTTTTTTATGGTTATTTGTTGCAGACTCCTTTCAGCGTTTATTAAAAAAGCAGGGAGGAAAGCGAGCTCGTGGGAGTACCCTTTTGCTGTGCCGGTGTAAATGTCACATTCATGATCATGCAAATGCTTGATCTTGAGGCTAGTAAGTAGAAACAATTAATTCTTTTCAATTTTTTTCCCTCAGAATATGAACCAATCTTATGTGAACATCAGTTGGAACACCATTGCTAATACTAGCCAGCTTATCTTCATTGCAGCCAAACCTAGGACTTTTGTCAGATCAGTTTTCTTGCAGATTTTGTCAGGTTGCAATTTCAAATATTTCCCATTAAATCCTTTTCAAGTTGATATCGTCATGTATAAGAACCGAAAGGCAACAGCTAACTTGTTCTTCTCAAAGTGTTCTCAGATAATGAATGGCTTTTGACTTGCTATATTGTTTAGCTTTTGTGGTCATGGACAACAATGGCTGGAGAGAAATGCCACATACATGGGTTCAATTGAGAAATCTACTATCTTCTTGTAATTTCGCATAGGCTGCAAAATTTTCTGGTTAGTACTGAATTGGAAAATGTACTGATAAATTCTGGATTTCATATAGGAAGTTCTGAAATCAACTCGGGGGCAACTGGAGAGAGAACTTCTAATGGATGATGTTCTAAGGATTGAAGACATGCCTTCTTCAGTCTTCTCAGTTAGCAGTAACAAACTAAAAGCTCACCAGAGTTCTGGATTGGTTTTAATTTCTTAATATATTTATTTAACTTCAAACTTTGTACAATCGTCTCCCTCGTAAATGAATCCATAACTTTATTATTCTGATACATGGTGGTTCCTGCTTGGTGTTCTGTTTGTCCACCCCTACTTTTCTGTTTTAGAATTGTATGGTGGTTGGATCTACCAAAAAACATGTGAAATTGGAAAGAAGTTTTTTTTTATTTTTTATTTTAATTATTATTTTTGTATCTTCTAATGAGTTTTACCAGAGAATCCATGTTTAAGTTTTTAAAGGAAGAAGACTTCAAATTCTCAATTGCTTACTTTTGTACTGTGATTTTTTTTTTTTTTAAATGATGGGGTGTCCGATTCAGTTTAGGTACACTTAACTAGTCTTTCGGGACCCTGAACTACTATCGGATAAGAGTAAGAGCTCTACTGGTTCACCCTCATTAGTAACCGAGGAAAAATTCAAACTTAAAACCTTTTAAATAACACACCTAAGAGTTTCCGTCGAATCACTCTACCAGTACCACCCAAGGCTTTCCTTCGCCTGAATTCATTAAATTTGGTCAGGAAATTAATTTTATGTAATGCTGTACTCGATTTTGATGGAAAGGGCTGATTTCATTGAAAATATACATTAGATCTCCGCAAACCACTCAAAAATTGCAGCAACTTCTTTCTTTTTTTTCATTGTTCTCATCAAATAGTATTAAATGTGGCGTCTCTTTGCGTGATAGTTAAAGCTGGTAAGCAAATTCTTATCCCACCAACACAAGAAGCGGGACAATATATTAAGCAGAGGCCCCATGTACAATGACTGAATGACGTATTGAAATATCAACTATTCAATAGCATCTAATGGTACGGTAGCTACAACCAAACAAGTCCTAAGGGTTCTAGCCACGTATTATAATAGTGACACGTCACATTTCTAAGGTCCCCTCCTCTCCTTTGTCGGGTCTTTACGTGGAAGAAATGTTTTCGTCTTTGAAGAAATCGAACAATCGTACATATTCCATGTGGAAATTAATGGCCTCTCTTATCTAAGCAATGATAACCTCAGAGCATATAATAATTGTGAAAGCCTTCGTCCTTGGTGCCCCTGCCTGCCAGAGCCTACAGCTTCCCATTTTGATATTTACTTATATTTTGATGCTGACCAGTCCATGTGACCCTTTTCTTTTTTCATATTTTATGGCTCTTGCCTTACTATTGAGATTCATTCAATCTTCTTACCGAATTAATAAGCGAATATTTCTCCTTTTAATGTGATGTTTAGCTTTCACACTTTAAGCCCCGAAATCTATGCAACACCCTAAAAATAATAAAATTGAATTTTAATATAAATTAAAAATAATTGGTGTCCTTAAAAATATGCTTGGTGCACTTAGTATCATTATTCATCCTTGTAAAACGAGTTCTGTTGGTGTGGACACGATATGAACCCAGCTAGCCCAAATCATTTGGTATGAATCTTAGGCCTAGATTTTGCTGAAGTAACATTTAGTTTCGAACATTTTTTTTTTTTTTTTTTTTTGGGCAATGTTTTAAGTTTTATCAGTAATATTTTGCAAATCTTATAGACCAAATCGTTAGTGACAAAGACTAAAACATTATATAAAATTAAATTGATACATATATCAAAGCTCATGACAAAATTGTAATTATTCATTGTTGGTGATTGGTGTCAAAGTCCCATATTGGTTAGCGATAGGATCTTAATTGTTTATATAGTATAAGGACACCCTCCACCTAGAAGCATCTTTTAAGGATAAAATTGTGCAAGTCATAGAACCCAAAGCGGACAATACCAATCCCAATCTCGTGAGAGTGTCTTTGTGCTATGTGGGTCTCATTTCATCCTGAAAAGGCGTTTGTGACTGGTGAGGGCGTCCTTATGCTATGCGAGCCTCATTTTGTCATGAAAAGACCTTGGCTAGTAAGGGTGTCTTTGTGCTATATAAGCGACTAAAACCCTTGTTTCCCACATCTACAATGGTTTTCTACGTTGTGCTAAATTCTGGCTGGTAAGGGTGTCTTTGTGTTATATAAGAGACTAAGACCTCCGTCTCCTACAACTACAATCGTTTTCAGTTTGTATTGTGCTATATTCTGACTAATAAAGGTGTCTTTATGCTGTATAAATGACCAATGCCACATCTACAATGCTTTTTAGTCTGCGTTTAATAGACCTACTCAACATGGTTATGCCATAATGTCTACAAAGGTTAGAAAATGGCACAAACTTATTGGGTCCAAAAATTAAAAAGCGGAAACATTACTGTCTATTTAACCTACCTGTTTAAATTTGAACTGTATTTTCGTCAATTTTAAATTGCAACGTTTTTCTGTCGGCAATTTATGAAAGCAATGTACGATTTTTTTTTTTTTTTTTAAGAGATAGTGGTGGTTAGCTACTTAGCTACTACTAGCTAGATGTAGTTGTACTTACTTCCCTTTTGTAAAGGAGGAGCGCTCTTACTCTCGATATGAGCGCGTGCGATGTTGGGTTCCGACCACATTGGATCAAGTGCTCACATGGACACCCTATGTTTTCATGTGGTCGGAATGTGGTCCCCAAGTCCAACCTCACAGCTCATCAGCGCGTGTTTGAAAACTCTGGAATCCTTATACTTTATGTTTGTCGGGAGCGTGAAGACAAGGTCCAAGGCCTCACTGTTGAATGCTCTTATTAGTAAAACATTAACTACCCGCAAACTACCACCTTATTATTATGATGAAATATGTATTTTACGTATTCTCATTCTCGTAAATTCGATAGTGTACGTACGTATAAAATTATTTGTATACGTAGGACCGTGTGCAGCAGATATGGATGGCCTTGATTGTCTTGTAAATGGTCCCACCACTTGGGGATCAAAGTGATATGATTGGTTGGAATGTGTGTTGTTTTGCTATCAAAAAAACTTTGATCTTACTGGGGTCTGAGGACCACCTTACTGACATGTTCATGTTAAGAGAGAATAGTGATTTGTTCGTTCTGGCTATGAAATACTTTGGTGCAGTTCTTCGCCCAGGTTTTTGCTTAAGTTTCTTTCACTCGGTTTGTCTGTGACAGCACTACTGTTTCAGTTCTATATGTTTTCTGAGCACGTTTTAAAGTGATTAATGATTACGAAAAGGTTAATATATGATGAATACTTAATGCTTGTATACAGATGATGCAACTTGTGGGACGCCTACTTGGATTGGTAAGGGCCTGACTTGTGTTTGCTTCAAGCGAAAGGGCACTTATCAAAGGATCTGCATTAACTTGACTCCTCAACAGGCAAGTAGTAGTTTGTAATAAACGAGAAATTTATTGAAAACGAATGAAAAAGAAGAAACAACAGGCATGCATTGTTGTTGGTGTGGAGATTATGTTGCTACAAAATGTCCTAATGTCCTTGCTTCAATTGGCAATCAATTCATGGTGATACCTCAAATGGGTTGATAGTTATTGGCAACTTCGCCTGAAATTTGTCCTCTGTGGAGGTGATCATGTGATCAGTAATATGGCTTCCTTAAACACAAAATACCTGCATATTATATGTAGCCGGAATACCTTTTTCTGTTAGAATAAGCTGGCTTGCTTGTCTCTGTCATGTGATCGTATAGCAAATATGCTGGGAGACTGATTTTTATTTGGTTGTAGATTAAAGTCAATTACCAAAAAATTCAGAGTTCGGTGTTTTTCAAGTTCTCTTCAGTCTGACACAGACAATGATCTTGATTTTCTCATATGTGGAAGATTTGTTTGAAAATTTTCAGGAAGAAAGACTGAAAAGATTGAAGCATCGGATGAAGGTTTACTTTGATGCTTCCAGGCCAGATCACCAGGTGTGTTTCAAAGTTAAATATGATATGTGAATATTCTTTGGAAGTACTTCACAGACTTTTCGAGGATGACGAAATTGCAGTATCTTTTCTGTGACATCAAGGCCTCACATGCCCAATTTTTTCCTCAGAGATGCATATTATATAAAAAAAAAAATTTCTTTTTTCTTGGGGACAGGAAGCTTTAAGGGCACTGTGGTATGCAACATACCCTGATCAGGAGCTCCATGGCTTAATATCTGATCAATGGAAAGAAATGGGGTGGCAGGGCAGAGATCCATCTACTGATTTCAGGTTCTTTTACCTTGTGCTACTTGTATTTCCTTCTTCGATTTCCTGGCATATTTATTCTTTTACTTAGCATCTGGACAATTTTCCTGATGAATAGAGGAGCTGGATTCATTTCTCTGGAGAATTTGTTGTTCTTTGCCAAGACATTTTCGGTAAGATTGAATTTCAGAATTTTAGCCCTTCTTAATTCTTGTTTAATTGATCCTGAAAAGGCCATTAGTTTTTATTATGAGTTATTTGTTGCAGACATCCTTTCAGCGTTTATTAAAAAAGCAGGGAGGAAAGCGAGCTGCGTGGGAGTACCCTTTTGCTGTTGCCGGTGTAAATGTCACATTCATGATCATGCAAATGCTTGATCTTGAGGCTAGTAAGTAGAAACAATTAATTCTTTTCAATTTTTTTCCCTCAGAATATGAAGCCAATCTTAATGTGAACATCAGTTGTTTCAATCTCCTAGGAAACATAGATGAACAACTCTGATCTCTATTTGGAACACCATTGCTAATACTAGCCAGCTTATCTTTATTGCAGCCAAACCTAGGACTTTTGTCAGATCAGTTTTCTTGCAGATGTTGTCAGGTTGCAATTTCAAATATTTCCCATTAAATCCTTTTTAAGTTGATATCGTCATGTATAAGAACCGAAAGGCAACAGCTAACTTGTTCTTCTCAAAGTGTTCTCAGATAATGAATGGGCGTTTGACTTGCTATATTGTGTAGCTTTTGTGGTCATGGACAAACAATGGCTGGAGAGAAATGCCACATACATGGAGTTCAATGTGAGAAATCTACTATCTTCTTGTAATTTCGCATAGGCTGCAAAATTTTCTGGTTAGTATTGAATTGGAAAATGTACTGATAAAATTCTGGATTTCATATAGGAAGTTCTGAAATCAACTCGGGGGCAACTGGAGAGAGAACTTCTAATGGATGATGTTCTAAGGATTGAAGACATGCCTTCTTACAGTCTTCTCAGTTAGCAGTAACAAACTAAAAGCTCAGGCCAGAGTTCTGAGATTGGTTTTAATTTCTTAATATATTTATTTAACTTCAAACTTTGTACAATCGTCTCCCTCGTAAATGAATCCATAACTTTATTATTCTGATACATGGTGGTTCCTGCTTGGTGTTCTGTTTGTCCAACCCTACCTTTCTGTTTTAGAATTGTATGCGGTGGTTGGATCTACCAAAAAAACATGTGAAATTGGAAAGAAGGTTTTTTATTTATTTTTTATTTTAATTATTATTTTTGTAATCTTCTAATGAGTTTACCAGAGAATCCATGTTATAAGTTTTTAAAGGAAGAAGACTTCAAATTCTCAATTGCTTACTTTTGTACTTGTGATTTTTTTTTTTTTTTAAATGATTGGGTTGTCCGATTCAGTTTAGGTACACTTTAACTAGTCTTTCGGGACCCTGAAACTACTAGTCGGATAAGAGTAAGAGCTCTACTGGTCACCCTCATTAGTAACCGAGGAAAAATTCAAACTTAAAACCTTTTGAATAACACACCTAAGAGTTTCCGTCGAATCACTCTACCAGGTACCACCCAAGGCTTTCCTTCGCCTGAATTCATTAAATTTGGTCAGGAAATTTTAATTTTATGTAATGCTGTACTCGATTTTGATGGAAAGGGCTGATTTCATTGAAAATATACATTAGATCTCCGCAAACCACTCAAAAATTGCAGCAACTTCTTTCTTTTTTTATCATTGTTCTCATCAAATAGTATTAAAATGTGGCGTCTCTTTGCGTGATAGTTAAAGCTGGTAAGCAAATTCTTATCCCACCAACACAAGAAGCGGGACAATAAGATATTAAGCAGAGGCCCCATGTACAATGAACTGAATGAAGTATTTATTTTGGTCCAAGTGATGAGATCGTTTTGTCAAAACCATAGTGACGGTACTATTGGTAACCAACTCTGTGGAAGAACGCAAATATAGCATTTGTGTTATTCTTTTGTATGAAATCTGATTGAAAAGCCTTACCAAATTCAATGGTCAAGCACACATCATGGATCATACTTGAGTTCATGAGTTCTAAATGTGGGAGGGGGAGGGAAGAGGAAATTTTGATACAAATATGTTAACTAAAAGTCTAAAACACCACAATTGCAAATGGAAGATTGCACCATCAACAGTTTCCATTATCATGATAAGCTCAACATTTAACAGAGCAAAAGTAGTTCAATTCACTTTGAGGGTGTCAAGCATCTTGATGTTCAAAGCATCTAATTGTCCTAGAATATTTATCATTTTCATGACGTGTTCTTCCGGGGACAAACCCTCTTTTAACCTCATTCCAAACAAGGTTGAGCTTAACTCATATTTCCTCACCTTCGTGAAAAAACTATGCAGCATATAAGACGGAAGTGAACAGTACTGCTACAATAGCTGATGTGGTAGGGCTAGTGAGTTTAGGGCCTCTATAATCTTGGGGGGCTGATTACTCCATTATCACCCTATCAACAGAAGTTGTTGTGTATCAATCTTGCTGTCGGAAATCGCCGCATCCAAGATCATAGAAATATTCTAAACTTAATAGGCAACCGCGACAGAGCTGAACTGAGAACCTATTAAGCGAAGAAATTTCTGTGATAAAAAGGATGAGCGTCTGACTAGTGCATATTACTCAGAAGAACTAATGCAAAGAGAGTATTTTAGCTAGAGAGAGACATAAAGAGAAAGGAAAATTTTTATTTCATTTCTCGATGCCTTCTAAGGGAAGGGAGGCCTACTTTTATAGCCAAGGAGGGACGCTTACAAAGAGACACATTAAAGACGGGGACACTTATACATGAAAGACATGTGTAAGCATACGAGTTTGCAGACATACAGTAGATACACGTGATACAAAATTAAAATATTTTACACAGTCTGAGAGATTCTTCTGGGCATCTTCAATCATCATTTGATAAGGTGTCAATCTTATCTGGATCTTCTTCTGAGTTGATTGGGTTGTGGGTATACCCAAGAGTCTTCCACCAAATTGGATCTGAAGAATTTGGGTTCTGGGCATCTTGATATTGTATATATGTTGGATTGTTAAGAACTATATCAAGATTTGGATCATTAGTTTGTATTTCAGGGATTGGGATTGAAGATCCAGGAATGTCTTCAAGTGGATACAAAGTTTGAGGTGGACTGTGGCTAAGAAGCTGGGTGTATTGTTGTGCAGGAACTGTTTGTTTTACTTTTGGACGGGAATATGAGGTTCCTTGGTTGTAAGCATGTTGTTCCACAACAGAGAGGAGTTTCTGACAATATTAAGGGGGGAGTGAATTCCAAGGTGCAGATGTTGCAGGTCGAGGCCAAAGAGAAGGGCAGATGTATTGGTTAGAGGTGTTCAAAAGCGGTTAACCGTTTTTTTGAACCGAACCGGTTTTTCAGTTCGGAAAAATTCCTGAACTGAAACCAAACCGGTTTGGAGGGAAAACCGATTTTCCCTTTTTTTTATAAAACTTATTTTTTTATTTTTTCCTAGATTAAATTGTAAATATAAATAATACATATCCAAATAAAAATTAAACATTCATACATATCAATTGACCACTACTAACAATACATTAACAATATTATTATTATTTTATTTAATATATAATATATAATATTATTATTTTTTATTTAATATATAATATATATATTTGTAAAACCGGTTCAAAAAATCGGTTTCGGTTAACCACTTTTTATTTTTTTCCGAACCGGTAACTGAATCAGAAATTCGGTTTTGTGAATTTTTTGAACGTAACCTAACCGTTTTTTCGGTTAACCAGTTTTTCGTTTCGGTTTTTGCATTTTTTTGAACACCCCTAGTATTGGTTGAGTTGGCCCTAGTTAGTAGATACGGGTACAGCAAAAAAACAGTATGAGAATTTTACGTATATAATACGACAAACAGTGAAAAATACGTTTATAAAAATTCGGTCATAAAATTCGGATACGGGAAAAATATGGTACGGGTATATACGGGTTTAATATGGTGCATTGTCAATAATACGTTTTGAAACATACGGCAATATCAATCTTATTTTTAATACTTTTATGGATTACTTGACTAAAATCAATACAGTATTTCAAATGCAAAGTATTCAATTAACCAATAACACAAATATACAATATATAACTGATATTCAAATTATAGTCTCTAGACTCAAACACAATATTTAGCCATGCTTCTTTACTAATTTAAAACTTGATAAGTTTGATATTAAATGCAACCAATTTTAACTTCCCATTAATCCATTAAATTATTTAAATCAAAAACTAAAATTTTGTCTCACAAATCTATATAAAAGATTAGTGTTACAATAGTCTAACTATTATTTTATACCTATAATATATGATAGTTTTTTTTTTCACAATAAATTATTATTTTAATATCATTAATCCAATCTAATTTATTAGATAGCATGGAAATAATTTAAAAATATGAAATGATTTTGTATGTGTTTTGAGTTTAAAATGTAAAGGTGTCAGGTGTGGGGGAATGGGCGGGAAAATGGATGTCTTTGAGAGGGTTATTTTTTCATTCCCCCCCTTTTCCAATCTCTTCTCTTACGCCTTACCACTGATTTCTTCTTCTCCCACTAAAACAATGTTGTTTCAATTAGTTTTTTTTTTTTTTTTCAATAATTCGTGAATTATATGGATACTCCAATAATTCGGCAATCCTTTGTAAAATACGTAAATACGCGTATTTACTAACTAGGGAGTTGGCACATATATTTTTGGAATTGTTTAATTTGTATGGTGTGTAATGGCCAGTCTGAGTGTAGGGAATAGGGATGTATGACATATTCTTTGATTGTCCCATCATGAGTGTAGGTGAAGTCTTGATTTTCATGGGGGGATGCGTTGGAAAGCAATGTTTCGAAAACTAGACCGGACTATGACTCGTTCAAGGGTCTGGTTTTCGGTTTGATCGGTTGGATCGGTCAGTTGGACCGTATTCTATAAAAATTTTTTAGTCCTTAAATGTTTGAAATTCATCAAAAACACCCCTATAATACTCCCTTAAGGTTTGAAATCTGTCCAAAACACCCCTGTCATGCGAAGAGACTGGTGATGGTGGCGACAACGATGATCGACAGCCAATCGAAGCTTGGAATCATGGGGCTTTTGATGTATAGGTGTCGACAAATCTGATGGTGGTGCTAGGGAGTTCCATCGGCTCTGGAACTCGCCAGAATCAAGAAAGAAGTCCGACGGTTGAGTGAACTTTAGGTGGATGGTGAGCGACGAAGGCCACTGAAAATGGCTCGGTTTTGTTGTGGAGATGCCGTCAAGTCTAATGGTGGTGTTTTCTCCCTCGAACGATGCCGGAATCCGGCGAGATTGAGTTGCTATTGGACCACGATTCGGCACTATTCCAGCGGTCTAACCACGGCTCAATCCGATTTGATTGAAAATAACGATTTTCAGAGGATACTGGACCAGATATGCCGTCAGCTACCTGTCAAACCGGTCTGACCGGATGGTCCGGTTCGGTTTTCAGAACATTGCTGGAAAGTAAAAATGACATGTGAAGACTAAAGATTCCTTCTTTCGCAGAAGGTCTCTTTTGCTCTAAAAAGGCTTATCCAACAAGATATGGGATAAAACCACTCAAGGAAGGTTTGAAAGAGATATGCCTGTAAATCGTCCAGGACACGCCTTTTTAGGAGACACAAATATGATGCCATTTGTTGTATAGGAAACTCAATGGCAATGGTGTATTTGTACAATAAACACCATAGCAAGTGCAGGAGATGTGGTGTGAAGATGGTATCTTCATTGATCAAGAATAAGGTCAAAAATGGATATTCAGGGTGATAGTGGAGACCTCCAAGTGTTTGCAAACCAATGTCATGAATGGTCATGGGTTGGTACTGTTGGGTAAGGTTAGAGATCTGTAAGTGTATAGTGTTTGTTTTCCGGAGTTCAAAGATCTCAGGCGGTTGATCAGAGAATGGCTTCATCAAACAGATAACAGGAACAACATGCTTACAACCAAGAAACCTCATCTTCCCGTCCAAAAGTAAAACAAACAGTTCCTGCACAACAATACACCCAACTTCTTAGCCACAATCCATCTCAAACTTTGTACCCACTTGAAGACATAGCCGGATCTTCAATCCCAATCCCTAGAATACAAACTGATGATCCAGATCTTGATATAGTTCTTAACAATTCAACATATATATAATATCAAGATGCCCAAAACCCAAATTCTCCAGATCCAATTTGGTAGAAGACTCTTAGGTATACCCACAACCCAATCAACTCAGAAGAAGATCCAGATAAGACTGAC